GCTCTCTTCTCCATCCAAAGACCCCTAATCGGACGAGAATCGGACAACGCTCTCTTCTCCATCGATCGACGCTCTCTTCTCCATCGATCGACGCTCTCTTCTACATCGACAGTCGACGCCCTCTTCTCCTCCAAAGAACCCTAATCGGCCCGATTACTCTCTTTTTCTCCATGACAGTCGAGGCTAGGGTTTGTACTAAGGATCTATGGATTCGAAAGGATAGGGTTTGTACTAAGGATCTATGGATTCGAACACCACAGGTTTCAGTTTCTATTTCGATAGACTTGTCGTTCGATTGTTTGATGATTCAGGAATATGAACTCCGATAAACCATTTGTTTTCATTAACGATGATTCCAACGCCTTCCTTGTATTTTATTTGGATGATTCATACAGTAGATATCTGTACTTATTTTGATTGCAAAATAATTTGGGATAATGAGTTCGTGTCCAGAGCCAATGGCTCATCCTCAGGGGTAAATTGGTCATTTATGTTATTCAGACTGTTGATTCAGATAAAAAAGTAAACAACAACATAAATTTATCCAGACAGACAAATTTATCTAGACAGACAAATTTATCCATACAGGACTTAATAGAAAATTTGGTAAACAGCCCCTAAGTCACTTTGTATATATTATTAAACCACTACCAATCAGTCATGTCCAAGCTGTGGGTCCCGTTAAACTCATTAAGTTAAGCTCATTAAGATGTGAGTCCTATTAATGCTTACAAACAGACTCTAATACTGATTTGGGGGTAAAGATATCAAAATCCAAGGGGTTTGGTATAATCAATTGGAGTAACTAGATGTAGTTTTTAGCATCAATTTCGGTTCATTTTCTTTAAGTGCATCAAATCTCAATGATCATTGTGTTCTAACTTCTAAGCCTAAGATTAAATTCAAGAAATCACATCTCTAACCCAGAAATTTAAGAGCTTTCTAAGACTCCATAAGAATTTTTGAGTTTCTTTATTAGTGGGTGTACAGTTTTGTGGCTAGTTTTAATTAAATCTCTCAGTAATTTCGTCGAACATCTTATGGGCATGTAGTTTTTTCAAGCAATGGTATATCCAACTACCTTCTAAAAAGCTTAAAGAGAAAGTAGAGAGGATCCATGAAAGGAACGAGCATAGAATTAATCAATGATTCAATTAAAGAAAAGGGCCAGAGAAAAGGATACCTCCACAATCAAACGACCACCACAAGCTCCAAAGATGAGAATCTCCAAAAGCAAGAGTGAAAAGAAACCCAATTCGATAATAAACAATTTGGAAATTCAATCTTTGAAGGATCTACCATGAAGCTTTTATGTCCAGGATCCAATCCAATAATTAAACAACTGTTATTCCTCTTTTCTGTAGTTGACCCAAAGTGAGGACCAGAGTAAATGTTCTTCCCTCTGTTCTATTCTTTTTAAACTTCGTTTTGGGTTTAAAATTTTAAGGGGGTGTTTGATTGTTTATTTGAACAACTTATTATTTTTTACAAAAATGCTTATCAATTTATTACAAGTTAAAATGGTTTAACTTTTTCAAAAACTCTTTGTTACCGGTTTGATGTAAGTTGTTTATCCAAACACTCAAAAGTGCTTATTATCGATGTCACATCGGAATAAGTCAAAAAGTTATTTTTATAAGCAATCTCAAACACCGATCGTGTTAAATTCAAAAACCAGATTTATAGATCTACAAGCCGTTTGTCATAATGTTCGGTTTTTCTGAAAACCCCCCAAAATTAACCCGCGGTGGTTCTCGAATTTCGAGAGAAAAAAAATAAAAAAGGCAGAAAAGAAAGGTATAGAATAGAAAGGAAAAAAATAATTATTTTATTTATGTTTTCGTAAGGGAAGAAAAATAAAGGAAAGAAAAAGAAGTAAATTATTTTCCATACCAAATAAATGACTAGTTGAATCGAGATTTTGAACATAAATATTCCACTGATCTGTAAAAAGTGGGATTTCGGAAGTCCATAGAAAAGTCATTGCTAATTACCCCAAGTGAGAAGCAAAAATATTTTGATCCAAAAAAACTGCCAAATAAAATGTGTCTCAAAGCGAAATATCACAAGTACCGCCTCGTCCTGGGCCATCGCATGAAAACTAAAACCGAAATCTTTTTTTATCTGGCATTAACTTGGAACCACGTGCATCTAATGCATAAGATAAAGAAAAGAAAAGATATTATATTTACAAATATACCCTTTAGAAATATGTCCCTTGTAATGAAACGTTAGATAATTTTAATAATCTTTTTTAAAAATTTTAGTTTATTTTCTTCTTTTTTTCCTTCCCTTTCCTTCCACATCTGGAATGAAAGTTTTGGGAGAAAACTTATGATTATTTTTCTTCTGTTTCCTTTCCTTTTCCCTCCTACAAAGGTTTCGAAAACACGAGTTTTTTTTTTACTTTCCCTCCTTTTGCTTTCTTTTTCTTTTCTTCGTAAAAAGAGTTATTGAGAACACGTCATTATCTTCGATGGGGCGGCATAAATGCAAGTTTGTCGGAAAAGCAAATCCAACGGGCCGTTAAATTGGCTGGCAAAATGAAGGGGAGGAACAGTGATCGGCAAATATAGCAGTCCACTGTTTTGGCCGACATTTACCCAATTTTATTCAAAGTTTTGGAATCTGTTGGAAATAAGAGTTAAAAAGGAAAAAAATATGAGGGAAAAAACTTTCATATACGTTGTACTAACCTTTGTTTACCTATTTTATCATGATGACCTAACTTTTAATAAATAATGCATTTAAAAGTGATGTAAATGTATGTAAACGTTTGTGGAAGTGACTTAAGAGTGAAGATAAAGATAGTTGAAGGTAGATGAATATAATTGGATGTATTGAAACAAAGACTATGGATAAAAGCCGCTCCTGGGAAAGCTAACCTCCTGTTTTGACGAGCAAGGCTGGGCAAACTCCCTACCTGTAGCAACTTGTCTTGTAGGGGAATCGAAGTCTCCTCTACCCTCTGCCCCATATGTAACATTGGTGATGAAACCGAAGTAAATCTAATGTTAGAGTGTTCTTCAGCAAAAGAGTTGTGGGCTCTACTGCATCATTGGTGGTTCGAGATTCGTGCATCTCCCTGTTCGTTTGAGGAGGTTACGAGCTGATTCTGAACCCGACCGTTTGACAAAAGGTCAAAACAGCTATTGTCTGTGATATGTGTTGCGGCCTGTTGGGCGACATGAAGGAGTCGGAACGATAAAATCTACAAAGGCAAGATTCAAGCGTCACGGGAAGCTGTTAACAAGGTTCAATTCTACTATGTGGGTTAAAAATAGAGTAAAGTTGGAGAAAGATGGTAGGTGGGAAATCCGGTGTTGTAATTCTCGGTTATGTTTTCTGGACATCGTGTAATCTAGCGTCTTGCTAGGTTTCGGTTTAATAAAATCCGTTTCTTGTCGTTCAAGAAAATGGATGTACTGAAACGTAATTGAAAAAAATAAGTTAGATTAAAATATCAATTCATTCAAAAACTCAAAAATTGTTCTCACCATAATTCTTATTCTCCCTTGTCATCCATTCAAATACAATTGTTTACTATTTTTAGAGTAAACTACAAATTTAGTCCAGTTGTTTGTCTAAAATAACACTTTTAATCCTTTTAGTTTTAAAATTACAATATGATTATCATAACCTTAAAATGCCCAAATTTGGTCATTTTCTATAATGACAATTAATAAATCCCGTTAAATGAGGGGTATTTTCGACCTTTTACCTTTCTTTTAATCTTTTACTCATTCAAAATCAACTGTATGATCTTGATATGATCTTGATTTCTCTACTTTTTAATAGGGTAAAAGACAAAAAGAATCATAAAATGATGAAATTGCCCCTTATTTAACGAAATTTTTTTAACTATTGTTAGAAAGAGAAATCAAATTCAAAGTTTTTACAACTTATTAAGGGTCGTTTACCAAATACTTATCTTGTAAGTGTTTATCAATAAAATTTAACACTATTATTTACTTATTGGATAAGATTTTAGTCCACAAAAATGACATTGTATGCAACAATTTACCCGGTAAATGCTTACCGTGGTAAGAGTCGTCGCCCTCACTTACCGGGTAAGACTTTTGGTACTTGTCTCGCTCTTTCCGGATAAGATTCTTGGTACTAACAATATTCATCCGGTGAGGTAACGTGACTTGGTAAACGCTTACCCGAGTTAGCATTTGGTAAACGGCCCCTATGTTTTTTAATTTTTATCATGTATTAATTAGTTTTTATTAAGTTAGTATTATAAATTAAATATATCTTAATTAATATTACAAAATAAATACATGTGAAATAAACACATGCTGAAGTAAATATATCTTAATTAATATTCTAAATTATAGTTTTAGATAGAAAAAAATCATATGAAATAGCACGTGATGCACTAGTTTTCTTTTGATCTTTACCATGTATCTATATAAGGGCAAAAAAAATTTGTTAACCCAATATATGGTGTTAACTTTGTGAATCAATCACAACCATTCATATTGAAAATCAATGGATTATATTTATCTTGACCTTTATGTAATAACTAAGAGTATGATGCGTTAGATCGGTAGATTAACATATATGAACAAGGGTATTATTGGAAAAAATCAAAAGAAATTCTCATTAATTAGCATCTGGTAATTGCTCCATCAAATAGTAATCAACTTCATCAATGATTTAATGTCTAAAATCTTCAATCCTTAAATTTATTTTTTCAACTTCATCAATGATTTAATGTCTAAAGTCTTCACATATGTTCAGAGGTTGTTCCTTCATATATGAACATTTTGTAACTAATCAAGTAATAAATTAATTTTTAATAATAGTAAAAAATAATAAATTCCTCCGTACAAAACTATAATAGAAAATGTTGAAAGTAAAAATGGAAAGCTTCCATATTCGTCTTCAATGCCGTTGCCGAGAGGAATGTCATACCACGGCTGTTCAATGTCGATTTCCAGTACGCCTCCCCTATATATACACACACCCCTACCAAACTCAATTTCGGACTCCATTGCTGAAGCAAAGCAAAGGAATGGCTTGCGATTACAATCCCAATTGCATATGAAGATTCTCTAAGCAGAAGATTTACAGGTTGTTACATTGCGATCAGCTTTGTATTGAAATACACTGATTGAAGTTTTATCAGGGGAGATCGATGGAAGAAGACTTGCCAGGTTCAATTGGGATAAGCGTAAGTTTAGCACTAAGATTGGGACAAGCCCTCTTCTCTGTTGCTTCTCTCCTTTTCATGTGCGTCGGAGTTCAATTTTACGCTTACACTTCTTTCTGGTACTTCTTCCTTCCTTTTTATTCGATGTAATCTACAGAATTTTCTTTTAGTTCCATAATCCTCAAGTTGATGTTCTGGTAATCGAGTTAGATTGGAAGTAGGAATTGTTGTAACTGATCATGATAATCATCCTTATCTAAATTGTAACTAGGAATTAGGTATTGTTGAAACTGATCATGATAATTATCCCTAGTTAAATTGTAATTAGGAATTTTTGTAACTGATCATGATAATTTTTTCTAGTAAAATTGTAATTAGGAATTGTTCTAACTGATGATGATAATTATCCATTGTTCCATGCTCCATCGAGTTGTGATTGCCTTGCATTTCTCATTTTACATATAATCTATGATGAATTGTAAGTGGAAAACGTCTGAATTATTGAAAATAGGCCTAACATATATACAGATTTCTAATAGGATCATCGATATGTTTAGTACTTGAAGATATGAACAAAGTGTTTGATCCCTTGATACAGTAAGCATGATTTACCCATTCCTGATTTCTGCTACTGCTAGGATCATATGGTGTTTGATCAGACGATTGTTGGTTGCTAGATTGTGATTTCTGCCAAGATCATATGAAAACCATATGGTGTTTGCTAGATTGCGATTGATCTCCGAGAAGTTAAAAGATGTGTTTGTAATGCAATTAATCGTCAAACAATCAGCAACTTTTTTGATCATATCAAATGAGTCATAGTTGATTATGCAAATAAGCATATAGACTAGGTATGGAGAACTATAGCAAGTGTAGTTAGGCAAAAGCGAGTTGGACGGGTTGAGGGCTAACATTTTTTGTATGTTTGCTCACACTCTTGGTTCTAAATAGAAACAACCACTCTACTCTTTTGGGGTGGAGGTCAGGTCTGCATAAATCTCACCCCTACCAGACCCTATTCTCGAGTGGGATTTACTGGGTTAATTTGGTTGGTTATGTGTTGTTGAACCTGCTCTCATCAAGCAAGCTTCACGGTAACTGATTACATTTTTCATGTTTGCTTCTCAGCTTCTTGGTGACCATCAAAGGCTTAGTTATTCCATGGAGCTTGACATTGGCAATGGTGGATGCATTCTCTATGTTTGTAAAACGCCAATCTCGCCAATTCCAAATAGTGTCGGTTATAGTTATAGGAGATTGGGTATGTCCTATACTTGTTTCTTGTCTCTTTGGTACCTTCACCTGCTGCTTTTCCATATATTTCTTTTAGGAAACTTCTTTTCTGTTCCTACACTTCTCACAAGCCAAACAGTCGCTCTACTGTTTGAGAGTAGAGGTCAGATTTGCGTACATCTCACTTCCTCAGGGCTCAGACCCCACCTCCAGATGGGATATGTCGTGCTCGTTTGGTTTGACTTGTCTTATGTACGTACTATTGATCAGACTAAAAATCTCTCTTTCTGATACTAACTAATAGAAAACGATGGCAGATTCTTTCGTTCCTATCTCTAGCAGCGGCATGCTCTACAGCGAGTGTATCAGATTTCATGGTTACAGAAGCCGGTGCCTCGTTTTGTGACGGAAAATTGTGCAGCAGATATCAAATATCGGCTGCCATGGCCTGCTTATCTTGGTCCTTGTCTCTAGCCTCAGCTCTTTTTAATCTTTGGCTTCTTCCTTCTTTATATTCTAATTTCTAGCAATCTTTTTGTCATCATAGACTCAACAAAGAGTTGCATATAGTAAAAAGGTAGCTTAAAGTTCCATCTTTCAAAGAATTTAGTGTTCAATCAATGTCAACCTTGCTACATAATAGGCATGGCTTAGAAACCGCACCTGAGCCGACCCTGGACGCAGGGACGTTCCAACCTTTTTGGAGGCTCTGCTACATCCAAAACGTTTGATTACATTGCATAAATGAAATGACAGATTATATATGTTAAGAATAAAAATGGGTTAAACCAAAACGATTTACAATCTGAAACTAAACCTAAACAATTATTGATTTGAACCTAAAACTAAATAAGTAATGTTTTGAACCTAAATAATTTCGGCTATAGTTTTCATAGGTCGATAAAAAGACCCTAAACACATGTAAATTTGGGCCCCAAAATTTTGGAGGCCCTGTTCAAAATCTCACATTTAACATGCTAAGGGACGGCCCTGCTTGGACGAGGCTTACGTCTTGGTTTGGTGAGGTATAAGGCGGTGTCGAGGTGTACTCCTTTGACGGTATGTTTTGATAATGTCTTCTTTTTCTTTTACTTTTTTATAAGTTCTATGGCGATACCGCGGTAGTAGTACTTCTCTTTATAATATAAAAGTCATTTCTATTTTAAAAAACTAAAATTCAAAGCCCAATGCCCCTCATGTGTACTTTTTAACATTTTAGGAACCTTAAATATTTTGGGAACCAATGAACCATTTGTTTACCATAGTATTATAATGAATGTCATACATATATTCATCATGAATAATATTTTTTTTATTCAAATTTATTTATCATGAATACTACATAAAATATGTCGTTAATAAGTTGTCACACTATTTTGAGGTTCATAAATAAACCTCCCTCCAATAACATATGTTTAGTATGTACTAAAAACAGCAATTTGTGTGACCTAATTAAGGTATGGATAGGAAGACGATGATAAAACCAATTAAAGTTCGTTAGTTAAATAGATGAGGTTGGGGGTTATTGAACTCGATGGACTCGAAGACCTCTCCTTTTTTTCGCTATTTCTTTTTCTATTCTACTAAAAAGTGCACTAATTACACATTTCTAAAAATTGTTTGTCTTTTTCATTGTGGACATTTATTTTGGGCTGGTGTGAGCAATTTATTAGTTGATATCGTCAAGAGAGTTAGGGGTGGCAAAAGATGACTCAATCCGCTAACCCAATCCCATCCCCAACCCAACCCAAAATTAGCAGGTTGGGTTGAGAAATTTCAACTCATTTAAATAAATGGGTCAATCCGTTCAACCCATTTAAATAAATGGGTTGGGTTGAGTTGGATTTTTTGACTTGTTTTCAACCTGTTTCCAACTCACTTAAAACATTATATAATTTTTATTTTATTCTTGATATTATATCTAGTATTCTAATTTTGTTTTATTCTTAATTAAAAATCTTACCGTCATGAGGTAAAAGTCCAAATTCCAATCGCCTCAATTACTCTTAATCATCATGAAACTCTAAGAAAACTATTTAGTCGATACTCCATTATCGTCTCCAAAGTACAATCCAACTCTTCAAGTCTGTTGTTCGCCTCTCGCCCTCTCAAGAGTGAACTTGAGATTGGTGAAAGTACAAGTCGAGTTACTTAAAATTTAAAAAAATTCAATTTCTTTTGAATAAAATATTTGTTGTGGTTGTCTTTTATTCAAACTTTGAACAATTTGTTTGTATATGTGATTGTGTTGTGTTTTATTAAAAAAAATCAAATAGTCTATTCCTTTTTTTAATTTAAAATTTTAAAATTAAATGGGTCAACTCAGGTTCAACCCGTTTATTTAACAGTTTGGATTAAGAAAATAGTAAACATATCAACTCGTTATCAACCCATTTAGGTAACATGTTGGGTTGGGTTGAGATTTTCAACCTGTTTAGTAAATGGGTTGACCCGAACCCAACTCAACCTAACTCATTGCCACCCCTAATGAGAGTTAGAATTACTTGTCAATAGTTGATCAAATTTGATAGATTTTTGCAAACAAATGTATGACACGATTCTTTGAAATGTCTCTACCAAGGTTTTAAATGACGTGAGATGTGACATGGTGGCAAATTGGCAAGGTCAAGTCTTAAGTCTTTCAAATTACAGGGAGACTATGATGTTTTTTAAGGTGTACCCTAAGGAGGCATATATATATATATATATATATATATATATATATATATATATATATACACACACACACACACACATAAGTGTGTTTTGAATAATACTGGAAAACAATATAAATTCAAATAAAGTTATAAAATTAAAAAAGAAATAAGAACCGTTCATATCAAACATGTAGAGCTTAAAAGAAAATGATATCAAGAGTGTAAAATCGAGATTAAATCTGTTTAATCTCTAGTCCCTATTTTCTTCAATCTTCAAGGAATTCGTGTTAGACTCTAAGGTGACGTTTGTTTTTTTTATATCCCATGGGAAGTGGGCGATGTTTGAAATTAAATCTCAGACTTCCACTCACTCTGCAAAGATGTTTACATCCTTATCTGCTAGGCCAATCAACGAGGACAAAAGCACGGACTTGTAGCCCTGCAGGGACAATATCAAACATTTGATGTGCATTGCTACGTAACAAAATAACGACTTTTAAGGGACTATTAACGTAATATAAGATATTTGGTGATATAAACCATTTAATGTCCCTACATAACAAAATGGTGGTTGGATCTTGTTTGCCATAACCATAGCTTGTTTAGGCATCTTTTTGGTTTGGGTATGCTAGGTTAAGGTTCTAGTCAATTTGTATTTAGTTAATCTGTTTTATAATCGACAAACATCAGTGATTCCGTTGATCTGAAATCCAATGGTAGGGACCATCTTGTTCTTATTATTCCATTACCATTGGTCGAAGAAGGTCCAGTACTCTCTCTATCAGCAGTGGGCACTATCTTTTGTCATGCTCCAATTAGACGTTCACAAAACGAGTGGTTCAGTGGGATCAATGCTCGTGCCATTTGGGGTATATGGCTCATAGGAAACAACATTGCCTTCAACAACATTATAATTTACTGGTATTCAGATGTCCAACAAATCTCAATCAAGTTGTTTTATTAGGCAGTAGAGACATCAATTGACATCAGTTTTATGTTTGGACCATCCGGCCATGGTCTCCTTTAAAGCTTCATAACCATCAACATCCCTCGTTTCAACCGCAGTTCACATATTATAACTTGCTGGTATTTAGCTGTCCAACCAGTCTCGGTCAAACTATTTTATTAAGCAGTAGAGATCATCAATTTACATCGACTTCATATTCGGAACACCTGGCCAGGGTCCCGTTCTACAGTTTCATAAACATGAACGTTTCTTCTCAAGCTTCAATCATAATAAATTTTTACCGAATTCAGTAATTTAAAAAAAAATCTAATCTAAAAAGTAAAAGGACAAAAGAAGGTAGGGTCTTTTGGTGTATGTGCCACTTGTTTTTGCCCTATCAAATTTTGCAACGTGGCTGTCTACTGTATAGGCGACGTGGCCCTTTCATCTACCTTGAATTTGCCACGTAGACTAACACCTCGATTTCAAAACACCTTTGTACGCTTTTGCCCTCCATATTGGACAAAATTAGGAAAAAGACAAAATTCCAAGAAAATAATATTCCGACGGTCTTCTTATAATTACAAATCACGTCGATAAAAAGACTTGATAGGTCGATTTTAGTCGACAAGACTTGAGAGGCGGATATTATAATTTATAATGCAAGTGGATTACGATGGTCGGTTTTGTCGCTCAAGTTTATCAGGTTTTTAGCTAAACATGTTTGCTGAGAATCAAACATTTTGCTGTTAGGTTTGTTTTAAACTTTATCCGTCTCAAGTTGCTCTCAGATAAAACGATTATCAATTTCATGAAATTCTTATATTATTATGAAATATCGTAATTGGTTATTCTAAAACCATGATTTAAATGTAATTAAACTCAACGACAAAAAAAAAAAATTAAAGTTTTATACATAAAAAAATGTAACTTGCAAAAAAATGGTTTAAAATATCAAAAAAGGGGATTTTGGACCTACTAACTTAAACTAGCATATCACAAATACAAATTGAAATATTATAGTTCAAAAATGTTATCATAATAGAACCTAGAGCATTTAAAGTTTAGGAATATTATAAATAAAAGAACGAAAAACGAGCATCAAATCAGTTAATTTTGGTTCAGTTATAAAGATATTCAAAGTCGAGGATAAACACCCAGATGCAAAATCCATCTTTAAACTAGACATAAAAGTCAGCATAGAGGTTCAAGTACGGTGACTTCGGGCTATCTACAAAGCAGGTGGTCGTCTTGGGATTAGTCAGCTCGCATAGCGGATTGGATATCTAGGTTAATCAAAAAAAAAAAGTCAGCACGGGACGTAAAAGTTCTAATCGATAAATTTATGAAATTACTATGAACAAAATGTATTTATATATAAGATTCGGTTATGGTGAAAAGGGAAGTTATGATAAGAAAAGTGAAAAAAATATTTTCATTTTTGGATCAATCATAATTGAATGTTAATTAATGAGGTGCACCAGGTCAATTCTCTTCTAAAGTGCAATTCATGGGTGGGTATGAGATTAAAAGTGATCACGGATCCAGATATCTTCTTACGCTTCTCACCATAACTTCTCTTCTCACACGATCTTTCGCCTATATATATACATATGAGCAAGGATAATGTGAGAATGAGAGTTAAGGTGAGAAACGTAAAAAGAGATCTGAACCTTGATTACCTTGAATCTCAACCCACCCATGAATCACGTTTGATACGAGGATTGATCCGGTGCATTTCATCCTAATGTGCATTTAACACGACACTTTTGTGATAATTTATGCTTGTTAACCTCCGTTAAAGTGAACGTGTTGCAGTCCGACATCAATTAAACTTGAACTATTTTTCCTTCATATTTATTAAAACATTTTTTATTTTTATGGATACTCTTTTAAAAAATAATCTAAGAGGTTTCATGTTTATATATATATATATATATATATATATATATATATATATATATATAGGGAAGGGTTCAAACGAGAACCCCTGTNTATATATATATATATATA